TAAGGCTTCAGTGGTTGTAGCTCATCTCAGTGGTTATCCTCCATGATCTAAAGTGAAATACATCTCCTGGAAATCTTAACCAGAGAAATTTCTAGGTAGTTAATAGAAATCAGTAAATTCGTTTTCCTGCCTAGGAGTAGGGTCATTTTCCCATTCTCTTTCTTATGAAAAGTTGTACAATTAGAAATATATACTAAAAAATGAGAGATTTCATGGGATCACATACAAAAATATCTCTACTATGGCTAAATCTCAAACTGTGGCCATGTGACCCTTGAGAACTCTTAATAACTTGTACATTGGAATGTTGTCATGAAATGTGAACATTTAAATTCTGATTATAAACATTTTTATTTTATGTATATTGCATGTCACAATAGTGATTTAGACCCAGTTAAATTGCAAAGTAGGGATACTTGCATTCAAGAAAGTAACTACGGTAATAAAATCATTGTTCTTCCAAAATATGAATGCTAAGCTATTACTTTAATTGCTATTCTTTTCTTGAAAGTTACATACTAGGTATTACTTTTAGTTACAAATATTTCATTATTTCTCACTCATATGAAAGTAAACATGTCTGGATAAACCAGAGTATCTATTTGTTTATAGCATAAAGTTAGTTAAGGTGATAAGAAAATACATACTACCTTGTACATATATGTGACATATCCTGTAGATACATGATGTATTTTTTAGACATTGATATTCTCAGTCAACATCAAGGGAGGCAGTTTACTCAGTGTTTAAAAAGAGAGGTTTTGAATTCAGACATTACTTTATCACTGACTAGCTGTGTGTGTGACTTTGCCTATTTCCCCTGTTTTCTTTAGGATATCTCTACTAAGATACAGAGAGGTCATGGGATTACAGAGATAACTTAGATGTGAATCACAGTCAAAAGAGCAGGGAGGCACCACCTGGTTTAGTCTTAAACAGGCAGGAAAACATAGAGCTAATAGCCACTTTCTCTAGTCTTCCTCTCCTGAACTAAAAGTCGCTAATAAAACCTTTGATTATTTCTGGCGCTTGTTGTTTTCTTTCCAAATTTACGACTACATAGTCATCTTTGACTCCTTCCTTTGCCTCTCTTGAGATTTTTTGATTGGCCACATTTCTTTGCCTCATTACAAAGAAGTTCTATTTCTTACAACTAGACTCTGGTTATGTCAAACGTAACTTGGTTTTAAAAATCTCTCAAAGGCAGACATCTTACCACTTTAAATTATGTTGCATTTTCCACAGATATTAACATAGGTAGCTCATCAGAGTGGACGGTCAGTAAGTGTTCAACTGACAGTTACAAATGATGTCCAATTTTTTCACTGTAGGTTGTTGTTGTTTATTCCCTAAGTCATGTCTGACTCCTTTGTGGCCCCATGGACTCTAGCCTGCCAGGCTCCTCTGTCCATGGGATTCCCCAGGTAAGACTACTAGAATGGGTTGCCATTTCCTTCTCCAGGGGATCTTCCTGACCCAGAGATCAAAACTGCAACTCCTGTTTAGCAGGTGGATTTGGACTCTTTACCACTGAGACACCTGGTTTGTTTGTACCTTTAATTTGCATTGCAGAGATTCACTGATTTAGGAAAGTTTCTAAAAATCAAATACTTAAAACACATTAATACTACTCATTTTCTTTGCCATTTGCTACTGTTTAAGTTCTGTGGACATTTGGGGATTGGAAAACAGCTCTACAAACCACAAAGAGGTCATGAATGTTGACAACACTGAATCACTCTGAAAAATAAGCACCTGCTCTTCTTATTTACAGTAATAACAAATGTCTGGTCTTTGTACAGGTCAAACAGGTTTTTTAGATTTTGTAAAAGGTACTTATTTGATATTAAGGCTGTAGCTGTCTTTGGACTTTGGTAAAGAGATCTGAATCAAATATTGGGGGCTTCTGATATTATGATCCCTTGGCTGAATATCAATGGAAAAAGTTTAGGGAGTAAGGAATGTTACAGTGCAGTACACACCTACATATCATAGACATGTTTTCACTTGCAATGAGTATAAAGAACAAGTCTAAGACAACATCCAGATTGCCACAAAATTACATACTTAATTATGCTGTTTTTAAAAATTATGTTTCAGTTAACCACTGAGGTAAAAAGCTGGTTAAATATGTTAAAAACTGGGTAAAATAGAAAGTAAACTATGCTAGCCGTTTACTTACATGCTGGCCACCCACCCATATCAGGTTGTAAGCATCTTGTTAGCAGGAATTGTTTTTTTCAGATGGCATTTACCCTAGTATTTGGCCCATAACAGCTGTCAAATAATGAAAGACTGATTGCCTGATTTATATAACCCTAAACACCCTGGTGGCTCAAATGGTAAAGAATCTGTCTGCAGTGCAAGAGACCTGGGTTCACTCCTTGGATCAAGAAGATCCCCGGGAGAAGGGAATGGCAACCCTCTCCAGTATTCTTGCCTGGAGAATCCCATGGACAGAGGAGACTGGCAGGCTACAGCTTACGGGGTCGCAAAGAGTCAGACATGACTGAGAGACTAACACAGATACATATATGTTTTTGAGACCTATAAGGAAAATATGTTATTAATTCCTGCCCAAATGAAGTATAATTCGGGTAAACATTCTAGCACTGCATTGTCCAATATGGCAGTCACTAGATATATGTTAGCCACTAGAAATGCTGCCGCTGTTGCTAAGTTGCTTCAGTCGTGTCCGACTCTGTGCGACCCCATAGACGGCAGCCCACCAGGCCCCGTTGTCTCTGGGATTGTCCAGGCAAGAACACTGGAGTGGGTTGCCATTCCTTCTCCAATGCATGGAAGTGAAAAGTGAATGTGAAGTCGCTCAGTTGTGTCCGACTCTTAGCGACCCCATGGACTGCAGCCCACCAGGCTCCTCCGTCCATGGGATTTTCCAGGCAAGAGTACTGGAGTGGGGTGCCATTGCCTTCTCGGAGCCACTGGAAATACTTAAATTAAAATTAATAGGGACAAAATAAAAGGGTCAGTTCCTCAGTGGCATAATCATATTTTAAGTGCTCAAAAGCCAAATGAGCTATGGGAACTTGAATAGGATTTGCACACTACTGTTGTGTAAAAATTGTATAAATCTTAATTATGTTGAATTGGTTCATGGTGCTTTTCAGGTCTACTATATCCTATTTTTCTGTCTATTCTCCATTAATTTTTGAGAGTTTGATATTGAAACTCCAACTAAAACTCTTAATTTATTTACTTTAAAATGACTGCAATATATAGAGAAACTATATGTAACTTTGTTCTGTGTTTTTCAAGTCTCCTGCAAATTGCTTTCATAATTTAAAACAGAAAGAGGAAAAAAGAAAAAAAAATCCAAATAAGGCTAGGAAGTATTATATTGGATAGAGCAGATATCAAACATTTCCTTCAAAGCAAAAGTCCCACTGGACAGCACTCTTCTAGATAGTGTGGCATTTTCTTCATATGAGTAAAAACAAAACCTCACCATGCTGTTATGTAAATTCCAGTGTACGTAGATGATTTTTGCAAATATGAATACCCTCGATTTTAAGGAGTTTTGGGAGCTCCCACCTACCATATATTTATCAATCTGTATATTTATAATAGTCATAACTCTTAGTGGCTCATTATGAGCTTTAAATAAATGTGATAGGCTATGGAGAAAAAGTCACCATAAACAAGCGGGTGTCATGCTTGTGCTTGTTGGATATTCAGATCCAATGTACGAGCTGCCGGGTTCTGATCCGAAAGGTCTGAGGTATCTTAATGAAAATGTATTATTAGATATCCCTATGTGATTCTGATGCACATGGCCTACAGGTCAAGTACTGAAAATTCTAAGGATTATATTCTTGTTTTACTTATTAAAAAAAATATGCACTGACTTTCTATGTAATGGGTCCTATTCTAGGCACCAGGGCTATAAAGACAAAGAAAGAGAAGGCACAAATGGAGGAGATATTTAGGAGGATGAGGAGGAGAAGGGGAAGGGAAAGGAGAAGAAGAAAAGAGAGGAGGAGGAAAGAGGAGAGAAGAGAATGGACTTGAGAGATAGGAAGAAAGGAAAATGGACAAACTTGATTGGATGTTGGGCAGGCAATAAGCAAGAGAAAAGAGTCTGGGATGGCATTTAGCTTTCTAGCTAATGTTGGTAGCTACTAGGACCATTCATTTAAATAGGGAAACAGAAAGAATAGCAATTGGAGGGACAAGAAGATGTCTCACTTTTGATATATTGGACCTGTATGCTGCCTCTGGCATGTCAAAGTGGAGGCATTTAGAAGGTAATTGTGTACACAGTTTCAGAGCCTTACAAATTTGGGATGCACCAGTGTCACATGAAACTGCAGGAGTGAATGAAATCATACTGTAGAGAGAAGAGCAGGCTCAGAAAGTTGGGAATTTGGTGGGCATAAGTATTTTAGGCAATGATTCTTAACTCTTTGGATTTATGACCTTTCTAAAAATTAGATGACTTCTAAAAATGCCAAATTTCACAAGTTTATAAAATTCTGTAGTTTCCAAGGTGCTGAGACCCCTGTTGCTAAATCCCAAATCCCACAGATTTCAGGTTTCAAATGGTGAAAGAAGGGAAGCCCATGAAAGACAGTGAGAAGGAAGCTAGATGGTAGGGAAATCGCATTTCTAATTCATGGAGGTGTGTTTGTCTGACTTAATGCAACAGTATATATAAACTTCTATAAATGAGGAATCTGCTTCTCTTTTATTCCCCTTTGTAAAATCAGAAAAGCAAGAATGCACATATAGAAGGATTTACTGAATTCTCTTTTTCTTTATAGTCCCTCAGAGCTAGCAACTGATTTCTCTCTCCACTATTCTTTGGGTTTTTTTTTCTTTGACTGTTAGAAACCATGGCTTAGTTAACTCAAAAAAGAGTTTCCTAGAATATATGATACACACAATGATATTCTCTTCCACACAAATATAAAATAGGAGCAGAGCAAGGCTAACATGCATTTGGGTTTCATTGGGATCCGTGCCTTTTACGTTCCACTTACCTACAGAAGTGATGATGATGGTGAAGTGAGTTTCATCTCGCCTTCCAGTTATGTTGTTGTAAGCACAGCACACATAGTCGGTTGTCTTCTGGGCTATTTTCTCAGATGCAACTTCCAAGCGAGGCCCATGCTTAATGACATATGTGGCGTTGTTTGTCCTCTGGATCCAGGAGTAGGTGTTGGGAGGATAAGAATCAGCAGAACAATCAAACAAGATGGCTTCTCCAATATCCACAGTGAACACTTCCCCTACTTTTAGTCCTCTATCAGAATTAACTCGAAGTCCATAAGGTCCATCTACATTAATTGAAAAGAGAAATATAGGGGTGACATAAATAATCACAATATAGTTATTGAGCTTGGGAGAGTTTAGCACCGTTTTATTTTCATGAAAGTCTTCATGTTAAACTTGGGCAATTAGGTCCTCATTTAGACTCCCAGTAAATGGTAAGGACCTAAAAGTGTTTTATTCTGATATCCATGGAAAAGGAAGTCATTTGAGATGCAATTGAACTTGTCTGAAACAGTGAAAGCCTTGAAACTTAGGATATAATTTTACAGACACTGTTATAATAATTGTGGTGCTAAGCTTTTGAGTCATGTATAGATAAATCTACAAGCTTGTTAGACAAATTCCATCTTTCTGAAACTGCAACTGTACTTACAAGTAATTTTAAAATAAATTATGGCTTCTACTTTCTCTTTGACAACTTTTTTTGAGGACTATCTATTTTTCTTCTAAGTGTTGGGACAGTTGATGCAAATATTTAAAAGTTATATAGTTTTACATGGAGCACAAATTTATGCAAAAAAGTATAGGAGTGTTCCATATTTTCATGACATTTTAAGAGTTAAAAAAAAATTGAAAATCCCTCCCCACGAGCTAAGTTTAGATTCCATTTGGAAAAAATACATCTTCATTACTATCAATAAACTACTTAATCATGGATATCCCATGGTGTTTTTTCCTTACATAGCAATATTCCTGGAGCAGGTTGCTATTTCTATGGCACCAGATTGTCTGCAGATAAAGACACATTTTGCATTGTTTCTTCAGAGAACAAATAAGAAGAGATTTTAAAAAAATATTCCCTAGCTATACAGGTTTTTCTCATTCAGTTATATACTGACTTATATTCTAAAAACTTTAAGGTTTAGGTATTACTGTGCTCATATTTTAGCTGACCATAATCAGTATTTGTTGGCTATTTGCCATCTGAAGGCACTTTAAGTACTTATGCAGACAACCACATTTAATCTTTAAAGCAATCATATGAGGTAATTGTTTTTCCCATTATAAGGTGAAGGAAGAGATATTTAAAAAATTAATTTCCCCATGGTCACAAAGCTATTAAATAGCAGACCTAGGGTTCTAAAATACATGTATTTAATTATTCATATTACCTCTCCAAAAAATTACCAAGTTGTGTAACTTTCTTTTTCAAAACAGTGTCTGTTTTTCTAATTGTATTATTTGTTGTACAATAAATTACTGTCTAATTACATATTAATTCTGTACTCAATCAAGTAGTCATTCAAAAAATACTTGTTTGAGAGATACTAAGTGCTCCATAATATATTTAATATGTGAGTGATAAAAACTGTATAAGACACAGTTCCTACTCTCAAGGAATTTATAAACTGGATAAGGCTATTGATGGTTTGCTCAGAAACAACCTAATCTCAAATGTGCTGATTAAAAAAAAAGTAACACCTGTTCATCTCTCATCGTGTGGAATAATACAATGTGATGATTAGAGAGCAGGATATCTAGGGTAAATTCTGACTTTTTCAATGATTAGCAAAATGTTCTTCAAAAGTCACTTAAGCTTTTGGGGTCTCTTTCCTCCCCTTTGCTATAAAAAGATTGACTGGATGACTGGCTGCCAATCTTGCTATCTTTGAAATGCCATGATTCATGCCAGGCTTATTATTTTGGATACTGGCAAGTCAACGTCAAATTTGCCAATTCCCAGAGTGGTTCTCCATTATGTCAACATTTTCTGACCAACCTACCACTGGGGAGACAAATTTCCTAAGATACAACAGAAACTGAAGGTACATAGCCATAAATTATGTTTAGCTAGAGGACATACACTTTACACATATCCGCTTCCTAAAGATACAGAGGCATCTGAAAGAAACCTATAGATTTATATTAATATATATACATGAGATGATCCTGCTTTTAGAAAGCAAACATAAAGGTACCTTCAAATTCAAAGTAATCAGGAACTGGAGATGGAGGATTCGAATGCAGAGAAATGAATGCTCCTTTCCTGGGCCTGTACTAGAACTCCCATACTGTTTTCTCATTTCATGCTGTGATACAGCCTCAGGGGAAAATCTCTGTTTTAGAATTGTATGTTGCAAAACCACTGAAGAGTTAGTTGTGTAATGGGGATGAAAAGTTGTTTCCATTCATTCAACCAAAATCAATATTGAGATGCAACTGCACACATAATACTGTTCTAGGCACTGTGAGGAGACCTGAGGTGCTGGATACATGGTTTCTGTTGCTATTATCTCAGCTCCAGCGCAGCAGCAGGAGTTGATAGTACTCAAGGAGTTGATATCCCCTCAAGTTGATAGCCCTGATAGAATATTAGGGAAGCAAAGGTCACTGTCTGGTGGACATTGGTTATGGTTCACACCATAGGAAACCAGTGGGAGGAATCAACAGAGGTTTGGAATAACAGAAGACCCCACTGTGTCACAAAGACTGAAGCCTGAGCACATTTCAGAGAGCAGAGCAAGGCAGGCTTGAAAGAGAGAAGTGTGGTCACTCAGTACAAGTTTCTGTCTTTCTACTTGTTTTCAGGGTTTATAGAGTATAAAACAAATTGTTTGAGAACACACAAAATGATGATATATATTGCTTTCAAAGTTTGCTGACATTACTCAAAACTTCTTTGGGAACTTTCCATTTGGAATCACTTTAGGACTGCTTCCCCCTTGGTTCATGTAGCAAAGAGTCCACCTGCAATGCAGGAGACCTGAGCTTGATTCTGGGATCAGGAAGATCCCCTGCAGAAGGGAATGGCAACCCACTCCAGTATTCTTGCCTGGAGAATTCCATGGACAAAGGAACCTGGTGGGTTACAGTTCATGGGGTTGCACAGAGTCAGACATGACTGGACGAGTAATACTTTCACTTTCTCACAACATAATGGTGCATTCTTAAAAGCAGTAATTCTTCCATTTTGGAAAATGGGTTTGATTTGCAGAGAAAACCCACAGTAATTTAAAGTGAAGGTAGGTGAATAAGGTTGATTATCTAATTTAATAATCACTCTAGTTTCAAATAAAACATGTTTCTAAAGAAAGGAATCTGATTGTCCTTATTCATCTACCCTATACTCATTTTTATTTTGATTTTGTTACTTCCTCATTTATTGGATTTCATGATTAGCATAATCTTTTCTCTTCTGTCTGTCTTAATTATCTGCTATATCTGTCTCTTCAGAGTAGCATCAACTATCTCAAACTTCCTCGGTCCCCACACAAGCACCTCTTTCAGTTCTTGGAACCTAATACTTTGATGAATTTAATAAGTTCCTTGCTTCTGATATGATTCATGAAAATTCAGCATATTTTTACCTGATTTTATAAGAAATACATTTCACTGCAGAAAATCCTAAAATTCCAGAGAGGCATGAAGATGAAAACTCATTTGTTTTCATATCAGAGGAAGAATATCCATATTTCAGTGTATGATCTTAAAAACTCTTTTTCCTTTCTTTTTTTTTTTTTTGAAATGTTTATGTATTTATTCTTTTTGGCCCCAGTGGGTCTCAGCTGCTGCACATGGGCTTTCTTTAGCTGTGGTGAGTGGGAGCCACTCTCTAGTTGCAGTGCACAGGCTTCTCATCTTTGTGGCTTCTCTTGTTCCGGAGCTCGGGCTCAAGGCGAGTGGGTGTCAGAAGTTGTGGCACATGGACTTAGCTGCTCCGTGGCATGTGGGATCTTCCTGGACCAGGGATCAAACCTGTCTCCCCTGCATTGGCAGACGGATTCTTAGGCAGGAAAGTCCTAAGTCTTCTTTCTTTACCCACCGTCTCTCTCACACACACAGATGGATTGATCTGTTTATCTATCACATTCTACATACGGCTTACAATCTACTTTCTTCTGACTACACAATGATGCTATTTCCTTCTTCATTACCACGTCAAGCTGACCATCGTTTACTTTGAAATGCAGCCTAGCATATTATTCATGGCATGAGCCATCCAACTGAGGATATTTGGAGTGATTCAACCAGTATGGCCTCTGACATTGAAGATGAAAACAGATGGATAGCTCTATTTTGACTGTGGTTCAGTTTCTTGCCCTTGGCAGAGAACTCCCAATAGAAATGAAACCTTTGCCTCAGGAATGGGTGTTTACTAAGTGACTTGTAAAATCATATATCATCTGTTCTGTTTAACAATTTATGGCTGGGTGGGAATAGAACCTAAATTTCCATCATGATGTTGCTTGCCATCCTGTTTGGGAGCAGATGGTAAGTATTTACTGTGAATGACCCTTTTTTCTTTCATATTTATCACTTAGAGCACTTCCCCATGAGCGGTGCCATATGTTGTACACAAAATGCAGTCGTTACTGGGTTATAATTTACAACACAGATGGACATACACATTTTGTGAACTGCAAGTAGATATCTGCCTGCATTACTGGCTTGACACTGTATTCCACCAAGGCCAACACCAGGTTATTACATCATAACCTCAACAATACACTGTCACTCTTGACTTTGTTATGCTTTTTTCTGCCAAAATAAAAAGCAATTCCTGTTTTTGTGAAGGAAATTGTCATAGAAACAGCACCTCAAGAAAACAGAAGAGGTGATTCATGCTGAAATTCTAAATTATGATGTGGGTCTCTATGTGGGAATATTGAAATATCACATTTACTACATTATTGAGGAACTTTGCTAAAGGTCAGAAAAAACAAACAAACGCAAATGGAGGGCAGCGTGAGGGCCCTGTTGAGAGGAAGGGCCCAGCCGTGCAGTGCTGCAAAATGGCCGGAGCAGGCAAGGGGTGAGATGAGAGCCACTCTGGAGGAGTCGGGGGCTGGTGGCTCTTTAGACGACATCGAGGGGTCCCCTAGAGGATGAGGAGGCATCCCCAGATAGATGGAAGTCCTTTGCTGGATGCTGGGTGTCTGAGTGGGGGGAGGAGCTTTGGGGATGTCCATTTGGCCCTGACTTCAGAGAAGCCCCTGAAGAAGAATGAGAGAAAGAAACAGGATCCTGAGGGGTGGCTGAGAGGATGCCCCACTGGTTAAGGGGT